ATTTAAAATTATGCATATCACTCAAAAATAATATTCTAAGATTATTCAATGAAGAGTTAAAAGGTATGTACATATTTCTATTTCTTAATTTTAAATATTTCATTGCACTGCACATTGATGATAATAGCTTAGAGTTAGTGATATGGAAACGAAAATGGAAAATGAAATATAAACATTTAGCTTAAAAAACTTTTAATATTCATTAAGGAGGTACTAGAGTTTACACAAGTGAAATGTGAAAACTGTAAAATAATAAATTGTATTTTCATACCCAAAATGAAAATCACTTTGCAGTTGAACTATTCAGAGTCCAAGTGCAAATAAATACATTAAATTATAAATTTTTATTAGAAATAGCAGATAAAATCAAAATTAAATATTTTATTTTTCTGAAACTAAATAATTTTGGAAAGGTTCTTGTTAAATTTCAAACAATTTCATTACCTAGTTTTATTTTTGGAATGAAATACAAAGATAGAGACATTAGGTCCAGGTCCCTACAAGTTATGGACCCAGTTATGGTACTAATATTCCATTCAATTTCATGGACTGACTTTTCATTTTATTTAGTAGCTGTTATTACGTGCAACTCCACTGAGTGTTTCCTTACATGTTTCAATTTACCTAACCTGTTTCACTAGTTACTGTAATAATTTCTGAAACATGTGTTTATAGTTCTTACAAAAACATTCAAGTATAATGAATAAACTACAGTTTAATTAAATATGATTACTAGGTGAATACAATAAGGAAGTTTAAATAAGTTTTTAAATGGAAGTATTTTTCTTGGTAAGGAACCATTCAAAAATTACATAACACTACGGGGGAGGGGTGTGTCTAAACCTGTTATGATGTATTACAGGGGGGAAGAAATGTTACATAACTTACAATAAAAGCATTTAACATATACAGAAAAATCTGTATTGCAATTTAGCATCCTTTAATTTGAATTCAAAGCACCTTTATTAACTCTCTATACACAGGCTCAGTCGAATTGCCTGACCAGGTGATCACCTTGTACTTGTTATAGTTTCAAACTACTAACTTTTAATATAGCATTTATATCATCACAATCTTTTGGCAGAATTTCAGCAAACATACAAAAAAATCAAATATTTTAGTGAAGTATTTTGAATGAAGATTTGTCGTCAATATATTGAGTCTTTTTTTATGAGTCTGAATGGAAAGTGATTTTCATGTTAAGATTAAAAATACTTTTCTTCATCTCAAAAATCTCAAATTTCATTTGTGTAACCTTTAAAACCTAAATATCTTTCAAACGTTTTTTTCAGTAAAACTTCATATTGTATCTGTTATTTTCCCTATCCTAACTCTATACAAGGTCGGTCAAATTGACTGACCTTGTAACCACAAAGAAATCGAAATACATCTAAATTACCTTTTTATTCTTTCTAGAATGGCATCAAATTGTAACATGAAACTACATATGTTTATCCTAAGTAGCTTTAAACTCGTAATAGTATATATCTATTTTGTTGCCCTTTGAACCGTATCTAACTACTATTCAAGCCAGTATATGTTGTAAACCACTTGGGGAACATGCAGCTTGCATGCTTGTCTCATGATAAGTTTTTATTAGATTATTATCATATATTTTACTTAATCTAACCTTAAGAGTTTTCTATTTTAACATTTTTAGTTACTTTTATAAAAATAAATAAAGAATACACATGAAAAACAAGAAATAAAGTACTTACCTGGGCCTTGTTGATGACACTTAACCCTACTTTTTTTTATACTAATGGTAGTAGTGCACTAAATATTTTTTTAAATTAAACAATGCAACAAAGAACATGCAAAAAGCAGACAATGTCTCATAACTATCACAATTTTTATGGCTTTCTAACTATGCAACAACAGCCATTACAAATTCATCCAAGGTAGTCGATATGATTCCTGTGGGAACGAAGCTTGTGCTGATAAAAAAGTTCTCTGTACAGAAAACAATGTAATATAACACATCATAATGATATAATATTATATAATAATATAGCATTAAACATAAGAGAGAGCTATTGACAAATCCTGAAAGAGAAGATGTGATAGGTGGGTGTGGCAAGAGCGTTCTGATTTTCTATTTGATAGCTCTGTAACAAAACAAAATTGAAGGCTATGAAAATTATGCTTTGCCTAAATGATCACAATATTAAAGTGAGCAATTTACATTAAAATTTTTACTTATTATAGGGGTGGCAAATAAATCAGTGAAGAGGGGATGCCTAGAGAAAAAAATATCACATTTCTCACCTTAGGAGAAATTCAAGAATTTTTTAATATTGCCTTATAAAATTAAGAACATAAAACTTACATAACATTAAAATATGGAATATTAGTTATGATTTTATGCTATACTAATTGATATAACATAATCAAAAAGTTATTGAATTAAATTTTGAATGTAACCCTTAAAACCTCTTGAGATGCACATTAAAGGGAGCCCAAGGTTAGCTGGAACATTTGCAAACTTAGTAAATGTATCTTCTATGCAGAATAATTTGTTTAGTCAGACTTTGTATGTATACTAAGGTATGTATGAGACTAACAAAAACAAATATTAGTAGTGTCTGTCAAAAAAAAAAAACACATTTTAATTCTTAGAATTTTAAGGACAATCCTTACCAACATATGCATATATATATTTACATATATGCTAAATATCTCGATTGGATTTTTTTTAAAAGCAGTGTTATTAAACAAAACTGCTTAAAAGATACAAAACAACTTTAATGTTGCTACTATGATAAAAATAATTGTAATTGAATAAACCAACAGTGGTAAGGCATATGATTGCTTAAAACTTTAGATTTTAGAGATTAACTGGTAGTGATAGTTCTATTCCTGTATTTATTAAAGTTTGCTGCATATCTTACCTAATTTATTAAAGAAGCCTTATAATTATTGTTTAATATACTTAAAGGTATTTACACTTAAGGGATATGAGATGGGGGGAGGAGATGATTTCTCACTGCTCTTAATGAATTAGGGGTATTACCAAGTTACGTTACAAGGTGTTAAATGAAAGTGTGGGGGTCACAAAAAGGTAGAACAATTGTTTCATCATTTTTAATGACCCCTAAGGTTTTTAGCAAATGCACTTTACTAGTCTGTCAGCCAATTAGAGCAATTTTCTTTCGAAGTTAAAAAGGGGGAATGACACAGTCCACAAACATATCTAAATGTAATTATCTTTCATTTTACTTTTGACCAAAACTTACCTAACTCTTTACACAATTTAACCACAGCTGAAAATGTTTTTACTGAGAAGTCCACCCTACATTCAATGTATCTGAGATCTGGAAGCTGGACTCTGAGGTGTTTGTGCATAGGAGTAAAATGCAACTCTGAATCTGCTTGCACTCCACTCTGATCAAGGGTTGACCTCGTTGCAGTTAACCATTTCTTTTTTTTTGGCCACCAGAGAGCATGATCTGAATAATCTAATGCTACTTCTGAAAAATAAAAATCATAATTACATTTAAAGGACTAAGGCATGTCCAATTCTTATGCTATTTTTACTACTATATAAAGAAAAATTTATGATAATGTTATTTCAACATATATTAGAAAATCATTTTTTCATCAAACCAATGAACAGTGCCAACCTTAGGGCAAAGGAACCAAAGCAGTCACTTTGAGCCCTGCACTTGAAGTTTAAAAGGTTCAGATTATTAGGTAATCCTTTGATTTGTTGCAATTCACAACACAATACCTGGTTATGCAAGTTTCATTTGTAAATCATTGAGCATGACATTCACACGTTTTATACCACTCGGTATATTTGAAGTGTATAATAATGTTCAACATTTATAGGTGTAGGAGACAAATTAAAAGTGGGAGGGCCTAAGGTTTATCTGACCAAGCAAAAAAAGGGAATGTGTGCCACAGGGATCACCTTAAGGTCCTGGAAGCTCTTGGGCTCTGGATTAAATTTTATGCATTCTCCTGCTTTTCCTGAGAATAATTTTCCTAATTTTAATGCACTTTTATTGGGACAGATTTAAAATATATATTAGTTATTACTGTTGTAGAAAAAAATGCCCAAAAGAAAATGAGACATTGGTCAAAAATATCAGAGTAGTAGCAATAAAATGACTATTAAAATTGCTAAAGAAACAGACACTAAGAACAGAGTGTAGCGATTGAAAAGTTTGTTCTTAAGGAGAATCAGTCAATACACACAGATGCTTTAGACGATGATGAAAGTATAAATAACAAGACTTCTGGAAGACCTCAAGTGCCAAATAATTCCTTTGATGATGACAAACTTTTTGACAAAAAGTGTGAAAATACTGGTACTGAAGCTGATTATACAGTCTCAGAAAAAGAACAGCATGAACACAGAAAGCTCCATCATACAAATAATAGTAGGGAAGATCAACATGAAATGAATAATCGATATATGCATCCCAAATTTTGATGATCCTGCATTTTGGGCAGAAAATGTAAGTATGAATAACCGGTTTCTTAGTAAGGAAAGGTTTACAGAAAATTGGAATGGATGACTTTCCAAAGGATCACACAGAACAGAGGTCATGAAAAATATACTACAAACAAAAGTTTATGTGTTCAAAAATATGTATGTGTTCAGTAGAAGTGAAAACAGCAAATGTGCCATCAACATATCTGTACCAGTATAGGGAAGGATAAAGTGTGGATTGTATGGCTTGTGTTTCATTCTGGGTCATAAATATGTTGGTGAGAACAGATGAAACAAGGTTGCCCATGCTTAAACCATCTGTTTGAAGAAAGTTTATGTTGCTGAAAATGAAATTGTTGTTGTAAATTCTAAGAATGAAACAAAAAGTGTATTGGGGCTATGAATTAAAGGATTGGGTCCTTACGGTAGAGGTCAAGTGCAATACTACAAGCTTCCTTGATGGGAACTTCGGTGAAAAGTGACACAACACTAAAGCTAACCATTAAGGCTTAGTTGGATTAATATGTTTCTGAAGTTAAAGACATCTTTAAAAAGGAACTCACAGATGTTATGTAAGGGGTAAGGGCCTAGGCTATATATTTACCAAGATTATAGTTAAATGAATAATACATGGATAGTATAGGTCGTACGGAGCAGTCCTGTTTGTATGAGTCAGTTTTCCGTAGATAAAAACAAAGATATTAGGTAATCAAGTTAATCAAATTATCTTTCTTCATTTGTGACAAGGTTTTGTTCAGTTTTTTTCATATGTTCCTTTTTTAAATAACAAACAGCTATCTTTTCTTAATCTTGACGTTATTAGATCCGACACATAGTTCAAAACCAAAACTTACCGAAAAATCACACACACATACACCTCTACATCATCTGGAATTCTGACCGTGAATACAAAACAAAAATCAATATACTAAACAACCTTATAGACATAGCTTCAGGACTTTGCTTAACTGACTACAGAGATGAACAAATCAATTTTATAAAGCATTCCTTCATTCATGCCAAAAACGTTCCACTAACCACACAGCCACCAAAACAAAAACCTTAAAACTCAATTCTCAAACAAAATTAATACTAATACACCAAACAATAACACAACATTACACTGCAGTTTACCATTCATTTCTGAAATCAGTTTAAAGATAAACATTGGGAGAAAACTTGATATTAAACATGATTATAAGTCCTTTATTTGAAAATAACCCATTAAAAAATTACTTAAAATTTCAGATGTATTGTCACTTGACCAACAAGCTACAATGGTAGTTGAGTAGAAGAATGTCTAGACAATAAGTTGCTTACATAACCTTTTGACTCATTCGTTTCAAAGTTCAGCAGATTTGTTTGAGCTTCATAGCCGACATGTAGGTGCTACATTCACATGTGTGTATATTCATTACAAAAAAAGAACATTTTACACTATAATCTAACAATGGTTATTTTGAAATTGGTGTGCAGTTGTCGTCATGGGGTACATGAAATTGACTATAGTATTGTTGGCGGCTTGATTGACTTATGGTTGTTTCTTACCTAAATATGCTATAGTTAAAAATACATTTCAAATTGTATTTGGGTCTTACTATTATATTTTAGTTACTTATGTACTAGTTATGTTTCAAAATGTATAATTAAAAGGTTTAAACATTTTTTAAATATAAATCACACTTTTCATCCATTCTCAAAGCTTATGATATTATGCGCTGAATGAAAATTTTGCCTCAAGGGCACTGTTGACTTGTGTTGAGATGAATAATAAATGGTAAAGGACAAGAAAGAAAAATAAAACATTAAAAATATGAAAATGCAAAGACATAAAATTACGAAATTAACAAAAAAAAATCTTTAAAGATATTCTACAAAAAATTAACATGTATGTATTTCCTAATTCTTTCATTGCATTGTACATTGATGATAATAGCTAGTTATTGATATGGTAGAGAAAATGAAAAATAAAATACAAACATTTATCTTTAAAAACTTCTGATATCTTTTTAGGAGATACTAGAGATTATGCAAATGAAAAATAAAAACTATAAGATGAAGAAAAGTATTTTTACACTTAAAATGAAAATCACCTTGCACTTGATTTGTTAATAGTTTGAATGCAAGTAACTACAATAGAAAAATAATATATTTTTAGTAAAAACATTTAATTATAATAATGCCATTCTTTGTGTACTTTGATCTTTAACAAAATCTTACCAGTTTTGGAATGAATACGTTAAAAAATCTCAAAATTACCACATGTATTGTTGTACAAGTGAAACTTGAGACTTGATTTCTGCAAATTGCAAAAGCTTACCATGGAAAGGTTAAAATATGGATAATTAGTTATAATTTTGTGCTACATTTATTGGTATACTATGATAATAAAGTAGTTTAGTAAAATTTTGAATATAACTCACTAAAACCTTGTGACGTGCACAAAACAATGCTCATGGCGAGAGGGTTAATAAATACCTATTAGTCATTTAATTTGAAAAACCAGGCTGTATAATAAACTTTGTGGTCCTTATTTGACAATATATGTCTGTACAATTCCAATCAACAGCATGTCAAAAAAAAAAAGACAACTTGGAACTATTAGCAGACTATATGTTGGCTTGACAAGTTTCCTTTACGTCATAGCATAGGATGTAGTGAGATTGGAAAAACTTCAGTACATGGCAAATAGTAAGCCTAACATCAATAACTTAAAACTACAATGTAACATTTATTGTGAGATATAACATAGAAAGGGTGGAATTTACTACAGGTATGCATCTTTAACCTTGATAAATAAATATTTAATGTCAAACATGATTTTCAACATTGGACTGTTGACAGTTTTCATTTCATTGATCAATATAATGTAAACTCATGCATATAGGTATCTTACTAGGATTACGCTTTATCTCGCCTTGTCACAGGTTTTACGTAATGTCTCAGATTACCAGCTAAAGTTAACATTTTCTAATACTGAAAATGTATTTCTGATAGGTACTTATCTCAACCTTGATTCCCTTTAAACATTGCTAAAATTTCCAACAGCACTCCATCTTTTATACCCCTTCATTTTTGTGCCATTGCAGCAACATATGCTGATCATGTGACTACCCTCCACCAAACATACTGCACCACCTATACTAGCACAATCCTCACTTTCGAGAATTGGCAGAAACAAACTAGAAACTCTGGCATATCAGTGGGGAGGATAGGCGGGAAGTGGGTGAGAAGAGGTAAGTACCTATCGGAAATACATTTCCAGTGTTAGAAAATGTTAACATCTGAAATGCTACTATCTCCTCTCACCAAAAGCTAGAAATACTACACTGCAAAGGTGAAAGGGCCAGTAAAGGCTCAACAGTAGTCAAACAAGCCGAGAACAGCGTGGTGAAAGAACAGGTGTGCCATAGTTAGAAAAGGAGGCACATCAGTGGAATATAGCATTACTTCTGGAACAGTCATGCTCTTCATCCAGTAACGAACACTGTAAGACATACAAGGTGGAATGTAATAGTCAGGTACTATGTCACATAATACTGATTCTGCCCGTGGACAACAGATAGTACCCAAGTCGTCCACTTATGGAACATATGTGAGTACGTGACACAATGATAGTTAGAATTTAGAAAGGTGCCTGATAAACAGATTTAATTATACGTGGCTAAGGCTGAAGGATCGTAAAATGTATATGAATAGGTCAAGTGCGGTACATTGGGTCAAAAACATAAGTAGAAGCACCTTGCATAAGTTTGTAAGATCAACAAGTGCAGTCTGCCTGGGCAAAAAACATCCAGGGGAAGTGCCTTGCATAAGATTGTTCTTCTCATAATTTGTTTGTAATTGATTTTGTGATTAACAAGTGCAGTCGGCCCAGGCAAAAACATCTGTGGTAGCACCTTACACAAGTTTGTAAGATCAACAAGTGCAGTATGCCTGGGCTAGAAACATCCTGGGGAAGTGTCTTGGATATATATATTGATAGCCAAGTGTGGTCAGCTAGGTAAAACATCCAGGAAAGCACCTTGGTATACATCAGGTTATGTCAAGTGCAGTCCATCTGGGCAGAAAAAATCCAGTGGAAGTGCCTTGCATAAGACTGTTTTTCTCATAATTTGTTTGTAATTGATTTTGTGATCAACAAGTGTGGTCAGCCAAGCCAAATCATCCGGGGGAAGAGCTTTGTGATATTAGTGAGTATGTAATGTGCAGTCCATCTGGACAGAAAACATTCAATGGAAGCACCTTGCATAAGAGTGATTGTTTTATATCTTGTTCGTAATTTACTGAGTAATCAGCAAGTGTGCCTGCCCGAGCAAACACATCCAGGAAAAGCACCTTGGGATACTAGTGAGTTTGTCAAGTGCAGTTCATCCTAGCAGAAGACATCCAGTGGAAGCCTTGTATAAAAAATTTATTTTGTGATCAACAAGTGTGGTCAACCAGGGCAAAAACATCCAGGGGAAGCACCTTGGATCCAGAATATTATGTTATTGCATAATCAATAAGTATAATCACAATAGCCCTCTTCTCACTGAGTGGGTATATATGATCTACAAATTTTGATTTACTTTACTGTATAAACCCCACTCCTGAGGAAACCTCAATGATCCACCACTCCAGCAACAGGAAGTGGCAAGTACTCCAGTGCTCCACTAGAAGAAAAGGGGCGGAGGGGATATGCGTTAGGGAGCCCAGAGAAACAACACACTGTAGACAAGTGCAATGGATGTCTGAGATTTCCTATTTTGAAAAGCAGAAAGACTTTGATTGTTAGAATCACGAATCAGTAGGGATGGGCAAAAATCCCCATCTGCTTTACTCATAAAGTGCATGAGTGGCAGTCATTTTTATGCAATACAGTGATAATAAAATAAAAAAACATATATATAAATATATACACACCCCATCACTGCAATGAGCGTTATAGAAGTATACAGATTTAGTGCTAGGATATAAAATTCAGCATACCTGACCAGGCAACACCCGCCACCAGGTGGGATCCTGAAAGATGATGTTTATCAACAAAATAAGATACAAAATAATATTATGTTGACTTACCACAGTCAAAGGCAAACACCCGAGGAAGACACAGCTATGATATACAGATATAGGGTGCCAAATGTATTGGGAGCTGTCCACATACCAGCCTGAAAGATCTCCTCCAAAAGACAGCAGCTACAGACACATGTAGATGATGAGTTTTGTGTGAAGAAATATTATGTAGATGGTGACCTTCCATGGACACGTCAGAATACAGCAGTCATATGAGTGAGCACCACCCATTCGATAGCTCCTTTACGTAGTAAGTCTCGAACAGACTGGGCAAGACAACTGGATGAGGTACTATCCCAAGGAGAAGGGAAAGAGATCTGGGAAGTGTGATAGTGAGAGAGCAAAACAAGAAGCAGAAACCATCAGAAACAACTAGTAGAACCCACAGAAATGTCCTGAAGTGTATTCAAAAAGACACAAGTTAAACATACTTAAAGAAAATACTCATTACTAATGAGTTAACAAAACTTAGAAACGTGTAGAATTCTACAAAGTACATAAAAATAACAAACCTACAAAACTATGAAATTCAACCTAAAACATAAAACAATAAGTAACACCTAAAGTACAAAACCACTAAAGGAACGTAAAAGATAAATGATCCTGAAATATTGAATAAATAAGTCCACCCAATGAATCTATAAGGACATGAAATTAAAACCTACCCTAAAGAACATGAGAATAAAAAGGCACCCTGTGGACAATAACAAAGTTTGATTCAAATATAATCTCTAATGAGATGAGAATAATAGTACAGAAAAAGGAACTTTACAAACTAACTAACATGGACAGTGAAAAGTAGTAAAAATTTAAACAAAAAACAAAGGAATAATCAAACTCCAAATGCAAGTTTAAACTAAAGTAACATAGATGGGAAAAGAGGTATAAAAATCTAACTTACCCAACACTGTGCAGAAGAAAAGACATAAATTACTTAAATTATCGAGTGTAGAAAGTAGGTCCATCCACACAAGCTCACAAAAACTAATTGAAAATGGATATACCTACAGGAAGTGAGAAATACACACTGAAAAACTTACCACAGATCTGCTGGGAAAAGAACGATACCTAATCAAGCAGATTATGTGGATGCAAGGTAAATGGTGGAAAGTGCCGTAGAAAGAATATTTCCACATAGTAGTTACATACTTCTTCCCAAAAAATGTAATGTTAATTGAAAAATTGTTGGCCAAACGTAAGACATGAACTCTCGAAGGACTAAAGCCTGTGCTAGCCAGTAGACATCCTCAACCCTGAGACCTAGGGATTAGTGTCAGAAACATTGTCTACTTATGGCAGGAATTTTATTACCAGCTATATTAAATGTGGAATTCATATGAACAAATTAGAATTTGGAAAATAGAAATATTTCTAAAACAAACGAGTAGAAACAATTGAAATCAAACACAAGAAGTTGAAACTGATATAAATATGTGATCAAGGACAATCAAAATTTTGTCATAAAATACACGTCTATGCACTAGAATGACAATCAAGAAAGTGAGGATTGTGTTGGAATGGTAGAGCAAGCTACCTGCACTAGTATAGGTGGTACAGTATGATTGGTGGAGGGCAGTTACAAGATCAGCACATGTTGCTGCAATGGTGCAAAAATAAAGTAGTATAAAACGACGATGCACTGTTCGAAATTTTAGCAATGCTTAGAGGGCAAATCAAGGTTGAGAGAAGGTAGCGCCATTTTGGAAGCACTTTTAATTAGGCTTACTTATATTCCTTCTATTAGGAAAGTTCATGTGACAACGTGGTGCGATGGGTCAACTTACAAGTACAATTATTGATTATTTTTCATTAATTACAAAATAAATAACTCAAATTGCAGTGTGAATCAATTAATTTGTAACTGTGGAATCCAATGTTGTGTAACTTTTTTGTTATTTTTTCTATTTATAATTCAAGTTATACTGAATTTTATTACCGTATTTTCCGGTGTATAAGATGCACTTTTTTACCCCAAAATTTAATGTCAAAATCTGCTTGAGTCCTATACACCAAAGGTATGAATAATATATATGTATGTATATATATATATATATATATATATACACAATATACACAACGCCATGTAGTAAAT